ACATACATACATACACATACATACATACACATACATACATACATACACATATACATACATACATACATACATACATACATGGATTAATAACAATAGTACCCTCTTAATATCACTCACTCCATCTTCCTTTTTTCATCTATAATTATCTAATAATCTTAAAGTAATTCCCAGTAAGTTATAAGCTTCAAATCTCCCCAGTTTACATTTCTAATAAAAAATATAAAAATACATTCCCATGTGGTGTCCGCTTTTTATGCTATATCTAACCCTTATTTCTAAATCTCTCAGCCTTGTCATTTCTCTTAGTTTTAGCCAGCTTTCCCTTTATTAAGTTTTCCTGGCCTTTCTTCTTTATCCCTCTTTTTTCCTCTCATATTACATTTATTTCCATCTGCCAGTCCCTCATCTTTCCTCCCTGCTTCCCTTTTCTCTTTTTTGAAATTTCTTGTATAGCTTCTTCTTTTGCTTACCCTTGGGAGCCTTTTCTCTTTTAATTATTATCTCTGCCATCAATGTCTTAGTTTTAGTTCCTTTTGTTTCTTTTGGCAATGTCTCTGAATTTTCGTGTCTTGACTGTTTTCCTCTTCCTTTGGCTCCTTCTCTCTAGAAATCCTTTGTTCTGCTATAAATTGCATTACTTTTTCTGCCAGTGTGTCCAATAGTCCCCTTCTTTCTTTTATTGTTTCTTTCACAGTTTGCAGTTCCAACTTAAATTCTTTGCTTGCTACTTCCATTTTTTAATCAATTGTGTTATTCTTTATTTTATTAAAGTTAATTGTAATCCTTGCCAAGAGACTCTGTTTATATCTCTTTTTTATTGGGCCATTCTATTTCCTTTGCACAGTCAACCCCCAACAGTCCCAAGATATTGCCTTCCTTTGTCCTCTTGCTGCAATCTCCCCCTTTTTCTTTTAAGCTCCAGGGGTTCTTATTATGTTAAAATCTTTTATTTCATGTCTTTTTTCATTCACACATTTAATAGACCAGTAATTTTCCATAAAGTTATCCAGGAAAAAATGCCTTGTACCATTAGGTGGTGCTGTATATCACTTCCACTTTTCAAAGTTCTTTTTTTTCCCCTTTCCCCCCCCCCCCCCCTCCCCCCACTTTTATTTTTCAAGCATTTCAGCCATAGGGTTTTTTTTTAAGTATAATCAATTCCAAGCAAGTTCAGCATTTTATCCAATGCCTAATTAATGCCAGTTTCTGTATATTATTCCCAATTCCATCCTTAATTTTGTTATAGCTCTTTTGTAGTCCAGATTTTTATTTACCTTATATTGTTCTCTTGTTTTTTATTCACCACTGTTGTACTCTCAAGTGAGGAATTTTTCTTTCTGCTTTTCAGGGTTATTAAAATAAAAGGTCTAGCTTCTCTTGTCTGGATACATGCTGCTCACTACTTCACCTCTCCAGCACACAATTAGGTCCTGATAGTTTCCCGTCTTCAGGGCAGCCATTAAAACTGCCAATTCTCCCTGTCTTCCAGGGGAGTATACTAAGATAGGGAGGGGAGATGTGGCTCCCCTCAACCCAGCTGGCAGTCTCCCCCTCTTCCCCCACCCCTCTGAGGTGGGTCTGATGATTCAGTCCTGCAGGGACCCCTCCAAAAGGGTAAGCACAAATTGAAGCTGCACACGATCACGGTCTCTGTCCGTCCTCGACGGAAGTGCCACCAGAAGTCTCCAATCTTTTCTTGAAAGTCTCAAGTGATGGTGCTTCCACAACTTCTGGGGGCAAGCTGTTCCATTGGTTGATTGTTCTCACTGTAAGAAAGTTTCTCCTTATTTCCAGGTTAAATCTTTCCTTGTTCAGTTTCCATCCATTATCCCACCTAGAAAATCTCCACCTGTGTTGCTTTTTAAAACAACCACTTCGATGTTTACAATTATCCAGGATAAATGTTTGGAAGCACAAATGGTTCAGGAGAAGGAAAGTGGGTATCTAGTCATCATATGAAGTCATTCATGTATGACTTTACAGGCTGCACATTACTGTTTCAAGAAGTAGGTCATAGTGTTTTTTCTTTTTTCCACCTACATATCTCATGATGGCATTACTGCAGTGAGTCAGATAGCTTTGAACATTTGCATTTCTGGCTCAGAGGTTGTTAGAGGCATGGTAATTAGATAACAATCCTGTAGAATTTGTGGCATTAATAATAAGGTATATTAACATTCATCTAGTGTCTGTATCCACCTATTCATGCAATCTAACAGAAATTATTTAAGAGAGTTAGCAAATATACCAAGGCAACAAGAATCTTTGCGGGAAAGAAATTTAATTTTTTGAGCTTTATCTTTGTTTTTAAGAAGTAATTACAAACAGGGAGATAATTTAAAAACTCATTGGTAGATCCTTTCTTTCAGGATTATTAGGCTGCTACATGTCCCAGTCTATTGTGAGCCCTTCTATATAGTATTTCTCCATTCAGCCCAATTCTAAGGAAAAAAATAGCTAATATAAAACTTCACAAGCACTGTGTGAATCCTGAAACACAAGGTGTGGTTTTGTGATTATGCAATATTGTGCATGGGGAAGATTGCAATGATAATTCATTCATTAAACCAATCAAGTCAAATATCTAGGCATAGAAAGGAATTTATTGGGAAAAGTAAAATCTAGAGAGAGAAAAGAGAAGGCAACAAACACACAGGAAGAGAGGCAGATTTTTGCTTTATTTAATCAAGCAGAACTTCCATCTGATATCCTGAATTAAGCCAGCAAATCAGAAATTCTTTAAAGGTTGGATCCATCTTCCCAAAACACTTGGTAGAATGATAATGGCACAAGATCTAATTATCATGCCTCACCAGTTTTCCGCTATATAAATGGGATTATATGAAAGTCAGATTTGGAGAAGCAAAAGCTACATTTCATTTATTCAATATATTCAATTCATATTGTACCAGTGGGACAATATGGTGATTCTTTTATGTTATGGCTGTTGTAAGCCACTGTTATGATTTAAAAAAACTAGGAGTTCTTGTTTGAAGGCTTCATGATATCTCGTGTTTAGGGCCTCTCTGTCTCTCTCTGCCTGTCTTTCTGTCTGTCTCTGTCTCTCTGTCTCTCTCTCTGTTTCCTTTAAAAATGTTTCATTTCCATTACAAGGGAACATTTCTCTCTGATTTGATAGCTTGATTGACAAGAGTTTGTTTTGTTTTTTGCTTGTTTTTTTGACTCCCAGTGACAACGTTCTGCAGTCCTCTTGGGAAAAATTGTCAGAGGTCATTTGCCATTGTCTCCTTTCTAGGACTGAGAGGGGAATAATGATCCAGGATCACCAAGCAGGCTTTATACTTAAGGTGGGACTAATATCTACAATCTCCTGGCTTCTAGTCTGATACCTTAACCACTACAGCAAACTGGGTACTATAGTTAGGATCCTTCAATCTATCCTGTTCCATAATTTACTTAGTATTAAGCAGGTCCCCATTAGGAGTTTTTTCCAGCCTCAGAATGTGCCAGTTATGAAGACTGTCAGGGAATCTAGAGAAAAATATAATGCCAGATAGGGGGAAGTATCAAGGTAGACAATTAATAGTGAAAAAGCAATCATGGGGAGAAATCATACCTCTTCCATCTAACTAGTAGTATTGAAGAAAATAAACATCCAAATATTGAAAATGCCAATTTCAAATGGAATTTTTTAAAAACAAAATCATTGTATAAGTATTTGTCCAATTCCACATGAGAACTTCGGATTCACCATTTATTTCTATGGTCAATTCTTGCTAACAACACTTTGGTCTTTATCAAATAGTTTTACAAGTTTAACTCAGAAGTGAATTATCAGAAAGGAGTTTTCTCTGCCTTTTCACATCTACATTCATATTTTCTGCTACTTTTTTTCTAGTAATTCCATTCCATTCCTTCTCCATTCAATTGTCAAGATTTTTTCCTCTGTTGGTCAATGTGCCATGATTGCTGAAACTCCTTTGGTATTAAATGTGCCATGTTTGGCCTTCTTTAGATTAAATGGGTTTTTTCCCTTAACATTTATACTTCAGCAAATCTAACTATTCCTGTGAATTTGTTATGCTTCCTGTGTGTGCTGCCATTTGTATGAGAAACAATTTTAAGGTACTGATGACATAGTACTATCAATGTGACCTGTTGTTTAAGCCTAAAATCTCAATACAAAAGTTCCACCCCCATAACCAATTGTTAAGATATTGTTCATTACAACTTATTGTTCCTTAATTACAACTTTTAAAAATGCTTCCAGGAACCAAACATAAGGATATATTTAGGGTACCCTAAGCAAGGGTGACAAAATTTGGAAACTATGGTTTAAAATATCACAAGTCCATATGATGAATTATCCTTTGGGAGAAAGCATTGTACTCTCCAGTTCAGGGGTGTCAATCTCATGTTATTATGGCCATGTCACGTGACATAACAGGACTTTTTCCCCTTTACTAAACCAGGCATGGGCATGGCCATCACGTGACACATCCAGCCCATGGGCCAGGAGTTTGATAGCCCTGCTCTAATTGCTCATAACTTGATGTGTTTTGTGACTGTGTTTCTATTTTGTAACATTTAGCTGAGCTATTTCAGCCAGTAACAAAACCAAAAATTAAAAAATTAACTAGAAGTGTTGCATAATAACATGCAGGTGTGTATGTTGATTTAATTTCAATATCTGTTTTCTTCTAAATTGCAAATGTGATCTAGACAAACACAATATCCAACACTTTTCATGCAATCATGCCTTCCTTTCAAGAAACCCAACTCAAAATGTCTTAAATTTTAGTTCTAGCAATTCAGAGCTTGCTAGTTAGTGAAAAAGCATGATGTAAAGCAGGTGCTTTACAACCTTTTCTTTATAAGACTGCCAACACACATTATTTTCCAGAGCCAAATCTTTGTCATCCCTCTGCTGCAAGCCAAATCTTTTATAAATTAAAAATTCCCTTCAAACTCTTATAACGATGATAAATACCATGAATTCTAACTAAATACTCCCTGTGCAACAAACTTTTTTATATATTAATGATTCTTACTTCATGCGTTTTCAAGTGATAAATATAAATAAACCCTCATACTGAAAAAAATAATATGGGTTATATAAATATACAGCAATTATTGCACTTTCCCTTCAAGAAATAGAACACAGATTCATTTGAAATTACTTGAATCCCACCAATGTTGTTTTAGGCAAGATTTTCATATCATATATTTTGTAATCATATAGTGCGTGTGTGTGTGTATGTATTCCATGCATTTAGGATTTTTATTATTCAATCTCCCAAGCCATTCAAAATGATGTCTAAACAAGCATTCAGACTTGAAAAAAATAATAAAAGAACAATTTTATTTATTTTGAAATTGATATGGACTATACAACTCATCATATATACCTGTAAGGCTTTGATCAGCATTTTCCACTCTGTTAAGTTGCTGTATATAATTGTGTTTAACACATTCTTATTCTACACTACTAGAGATTACTGAGTTGTGCAAGATTACAATTACTTTATAATTTGTCATATTTATAACCAGACTTTTATAATTTTTAATATATTAGCTTTAGACTGCAATCCTGTGAGTTCTTATCATAGAGTATGGACCACCATACACAAGGTAGCTTACTTTTGGACTTGTATTGTACTAAATTGTTGATTTATTTTCTTTGTGTTTGCTATTGTGTGTATGTGTCTATGATCTTAACTATACAGCATACTTCAAATGTATACTGTAATTTGTTCTGTCATGTTTTAAACTAACCATATTGCTGTATACAAATATAAAATATGTGGGATTTCTTTTTAGACAAATTTGTCATGATAAGAAAAATAGAAACTCTTTGGACTGATATAAGACATTAGAGTATTTCTAGCAATTTAAAACTGTTACTCAGATTCTTCCTCCCTCATTTTTTCTTCCCCTCTGACTCTCTGTAGGCAATCAAAGCCTTATATCCAAGAAGTGACAATATTACTGAGAATATCTCAAGAGACAATAACATTACGGAGAATGTTAAATTCCTTCTCGTCAAATTCTTCAAATTCTATGTGAACTGAATTAGGCTATTAATATTATCTGGAGGAAAAAAGCAATCAGAAGTTTTAAGTCTGAAGGACAGATTCAGAAATCTGAGCAAAAGCAATAGGATATATTTGCATAAGAAATTGTATTT